TGAATTTGTAAAATGAATAAAAAGTACAAGTTTGTTGACCTTCATTGTATACCTAAAGAAAAAATGCATACAAGCGGAAATCCATCGGGTCTGTGAATCCTTGCCGAAATCATGCCGATTCGATGTCGTTCGAGTCGCATCCCGTGATTCATGCTCAGAACTGGCCTCGGACAAGCATCCGCAGAGGTCGTTAAATAGCGAAGGAATGAAGGCTTCTAACTGCTCTGCTGCCACACTTGATCCCAAGCTCCTCCCTCTCCCGTTCGCTACTTCTCTGTCCGAGCTCCTTTTCATTCTTCTAAGCCGAAGCCAGTCCCAAGCTCCCACCTCATCTCCCTCTCTAATCAACCCCCATAGTCAAGCTAGGACTGATCTCCTTCCCTATCGCAGATCCCAAACTCCTGCTTGCTACTGATCCCATCCCAATCTCCATCAAACCCAACGACCCCATCTGACCCTTGCCTTCCTCCTCCTGTATCCTCTACCTTAGCTCCCGCAGTTGCCTCCCAATCCTCAGAGAGAGAGAGAGAGAGAGAGAGAGAGAGAGAGAGAGAGAGAGTCTACAAAAAAACCCTTAAACGCTCACGTAGTGGGTAGGGATAAAAAAAATACATTTTCATGGTGTCATTTTTGACACCTACCTGAGGCGCTCACGTAGCATTGAGGGGAAGGTTGCCTCTTGGTTTTTCCTCTAAACTGGGGAGACGCCGGGAGGCTGCCAAAATTTAGATTAAAAATCCAAGGACTTTAAAAAATATTGAATCTCATTTGGACATCATTTGAACTAAAATCAAACTTGGATAAATAAGGAAAGGGCTTAAGCAAAACTCAAACAAGAACTTGATTGAACTCAAATGAACATGAACTTGAGTTGAACAAGCTCACTTGAAACTTATGAACTTGGTTTGAACCAAGTGAGGACTTAGACTTGCCATATGAACGAACAAAAGTGAACCTGAATGTGGACGGAAGCTGACAAAGAACTCAAAACAAGATATGGACTACTTGAACTCAAAGGAGATTGGTGGAATGAGTTTTGAAGTTGAACTTGAACAATGGACTATGCTTGGACTTAGACTCAAGCTTGAACTTGATTTGGACCACAAGAAATTTGGACTTGATTCGACATAATTAAATGATTTAGAACACAAATTAAAATAAAACTTGTGATTTGTCAAGTTAACCACTTCGATTGGATTACAAATGAATAATGATGTTGAGATTCCTCACACACAATGAACTACCTTTAAAGATGAGGACTTGCAAGCACAACATGCTTACAAGTAACAAGAAGAAGTCAAAAGATATGTTGTGGTTACAAATTCATGGCCTAAAATACTTTGGAAGGAGCTCCAATGGGTGTCATAATTGACCCATGAAAGCTACCCTAGTAAAAAAATGCAAATCTCTGATCGAGCATAATACTAATGAGTGCCATTGGCTATGTGATAAGATATCTATATTGTGTATCAATAGTTGTTGGTGAGTGATGGAAAGGGATACACCAACAATATATACATGAAGAAGTTGATGGCGAGATATAACTCGATCGGTGGTTAATGACAAGTCATAGATGATGCAATTGATGGAGAAAAGAGAAATGTTGCTGAAGCCATAATTTCTAATGCTTGTAAATATTTATAAGAAATGAATGATATTGAATATACAACATGTCTATAGAAAAGCAGGGTGGTTGTAAAGAAGATAATTCACCTCTGCTCGCAATGTCACTTAACTGTATGTGAAAATACATGCTTCCTTAAAAGTATACACAAGAATCATGCAATGAAAGATAAATATTTTTATGAGCAAGATATGAAGGGTATTTAGCAGATGAAGCAACTGCTCTACAACACTCAGGTAATCGACGACAGAACACAAACAACCATGTTTAACCTTGCAAGTGATGAAATAGGAGAGGGTGTATGATTTAGCTGCGAACTCCTATGAATCACTATCGGAGACTTGTTACATACACAAAGTTCCATCTACGAGTAAATATAAAAAGAGAGTTGCAACACATATGAGCTCCCATGGGCTACTGTAGAAGACATCTATACATTCAATGTACCACTCACAAGCAAAACATAAATATTGCAAAATACCCCCACACATACACTGCAGTTTATATACACATAGGTACACTAAAACGGTTAAAAATAATCATAAAACCCGCAAGGGCCCCGGCGAGTGTGTTATTGGTATACACATGACGTCTAAGGATGCTGCGTGGGTTATTAAATTTGGATCCAATTTTCCTAAGCAGATAAAAAGAGTGGACAGGGTTCAATTATAAAATGCCCCCAAATAACCGCAAGGGCCCCGACGAACGTGTTATTGGTACACACGTGACGTCTAGGGATGCTGCACGGGTTAACAAGTTAATTCAAGTTCAATCTGATCCTTTTATACAGATCAATAGAAGTCGACATGATTCGAACCATCAAACAAATACATGGTTGTGGTGACCGATTTATTTGTTTTAATACATTCATATTAGGCCTTTAAGGCCTATAATCAAGAGAATTCACTAATAAAGGCACAAAGCCTACAAAACCTGATCATCTATAGACAGCTAGATATAATCGACAAGGTTCAATCAACAAAAGAGAAATGACCTCGAACACCCCGATGATGGCCGTGTTGAATGCATATCTCAACCGGAGCGGTTCCCAAATATTTTCAAATGTCTCCTAAATATCTAAAGTTCATTTCAAATATTCCAAAGATCCACCCAAAATACCCATAAAAATCCAAATACTCCACAAAAATCCTAAAATCCCAAAAATATTTAAAAATGAAACTATCTATCCCAACGCTTAAAGAAAAATTCATCCACCCTTCACAATAGTTTGCCGAGGTGGATAAATTTAAAACTACTTAAGCTCACAAAGAGCCAAATGCCTGGTCAAAAATATTACTAGGATCCATTCTAAATAGTCTCCCATCGATAAGAGCATGGTACGTGTCCTCTAACCGACGGTCTGCCACCAAATGGCACCGCAGGATAAACTGTTATTACGACCCGGGGCCCTCTGAACCTAGTGGTTTTGCCACCAAATGGTACCACGATATACCGATTATGGCCAGAGCCAATATGCTCCTTAGTGGCATCAAATACTTGAGATATGAATCAATAGGATATAATCGATAGGGCATAAAGCCCTCTGTCAGCTAACGTGGATTCAAATTTGTCCCATTAGGTAAACATTCAACCCAGGTCTAGAAGGTCCCCTTGGACGAAGCAACCCATGGCTGCCGATAAGGATCCTTTTGTCAGGTTGGGTTGACTACCTCCTCTGACTAAGTAGACCAGGGACCACGATGGCCCGGGACGACGGAACCATGGGATCTTGATTGGGTCCATCATCCAGTCCCCCACCATCCGCTTTAAGTGCAAGATGGTGAAAATTTCTATTTTAAATATTAAACCTACAAACTCTTCAATATCCAAACCTTTCAAATCCTAATCCCAATGCTGCTACTATATGCCAGATAACACGTATCTCTACGTATCTGATTGAAGACTAGCCTTAATCAAAAGTTCTCTCTCGTGATCGGGAGGGGTAATTAGCTATAGGGGCTTGCACCTATAGGAAACCAAAACTTAGATCATAAAGTTCTCGCAAAATGAGGGCGAAATCTCTAGGTAGTGTATTATCTACAAACCCATCTGCCTTCCAAATATTACCTCGGAACTTATTCAGTTAAAACCCCCTCGCCGAATAAAAAGAAAAAGCGGGCGGAGGCCTTTGAATGGAAAGATGTCGTAGCATTCATTGCAAGTTAATGTGAGCGGTTAGGTGGGCTACATTCATCACTGATCTCCCCACATTTGTTGGTTGGCATGTTATTGTATTCACTTGCAAATCTTGTATACACACTTGTAGGCTCCTTGTAGCGGCTTGTGAATGAACTGTTGTGTGTGTCATAAAATCACACTCATGCTTGTAAGCCAATTATCCTGTTCACTACATGTCTACTGCCTACACCCATGAGGGTTCATGTTCGTTGTAGGTTCTTGGTCTTTGCTTGTAGATAGTGTGCGCGCTTATATCCACAGGGGACCCATCATACTTATGGCATATCCACTTTTGTTATTTACAAATAGATCCATCAGTCATCGTCACACACAGGGAATGATTGTAATTGTCTACAAGTGAACTGACATTGATTGTAGGGATATCACAACATTAACGTATGCTATTTTTTATCATCCATATACAGACTATGGGGTCTTCGAGGGTGCATACTTGAAATACACAATTCTTTTCCCGCATGCATGATGACACATACACGAGTACTTAAAGCCGTCCCCGCCACGCTAGAGAAAAGCGTGTATATGGCTTACCTGCCTCGACGTAAGCTTCACACTGGATTCCCTCCCACCATGCTACAGAAAATCGTGTATATGTGATTTTCTTGTGCACCGCGAGCGCATAAAGTGAGGTTTGAGGATTTTGGGAATTTTGAGACATTTTTGATGTGACGACAACGACGACAAAATTGCACAAAAAAATCCCCTTTTTTCTTCTTTTTAAACTCTTTTCTTTTTTTTTATAATTCTTTTCTTTTTTTTTTGGAGTAAATAATAATAATAATAAAGAGAGAGAATTTCTCTCTATTAAATGCTATTGGAATTTTACGAGAAGACTGTTTGGATTTGGGAAGAAGAAATAGAAAAGGCTGCTATTTGGATTTTATAAGTGGAGTTTGGTGCTGGATTCAGTGTATAGAAGGCGTGGAGAGTGACTGAAAGAGCTGTTATTGGGTTTGGTAGTTGTTGGATGCAGCTGCTCCGAATAACTCAAAATAAAATTGCAATCAAGATGTTTTCATTTTTTATACTAACTCAAATTAAGAGTATTAAACAAATTTAAATTGAATTAATTTGAAGCAATTAAGCAAATAGAAAATAATATTTACTTGTTATTCCTTTATGAATCCTACTTAAAACTTGTTAACAGTAAAAATAAAAATAAATCACGAACACTATTCCATTGGTTCGCTCTTCAATTTATTGGTTATCCCTTCATACCAAATAATAAAAAACACAAAGAAGTTGTAAGAAGACGTTTTAGCAGGAAGCCAGCAGGATCACTGAACTTAATACAACTTATCATACAATATACAGCATAAATTCCTGCTCTATCTAATATCTAATGGAACAAGAAACTGCTTTCAGAAAAGCTGCAATAACATACAAAAAATACAGCATCTCTGTTCATCAGCTTAAGAAAGAACGGTCTGAAACTCACCATTGATACTTGGCAGCCACAAGAACTTCCTCATAAATCTTAGCAGCATTGTCCCAGCTGAGATCCTGCGTCATTCCTCGCATCTGAAGACCCTCCCAGCTACTTTCATAGTTCCAGTAAGTATTCAAACAATTACCCAGTGCATTTGTGAGCTTCCCAGCCTCAGCTCTATCGAAGGTCCATCCATGCCCAGTTTCCTTAAAAGGATCATACTGAGTGACAGTATCCCTCAATCCTCCCACGGCATGCACCACTGGAACAGTTCCATAGGTCATCGCATAGAGCTGGTTCAGTCCACAAGGCTCGAATCTCGATGGCATGAGTAGAATGTCAGCCCCTGCAGTGATTCGGTGCGCCATTTTCACAGAAAAACCAACCCATCCTCTCACCTTGTCATGGTACTGTTCCTGAAACCTTCTCAACATGTCTTCAAGGTCTGGTCTTCCTGATCCTAGCATGATTAGCTGCACATCTTGACTAGCAATCCATGGCATAGCATCTCCTATGAGGTCCACTCCTTTCTGATGATCCAATCTCCCAATGAAAGCAATGACTGGAACCTTGGGGCGGAGAGGTAGACTTAATTCTTTCTGCAAGGCAGCCTTGCATTTGGGTTTGCCGGTTTTAAGTGTTTTGAGGGAGTAGTTGGTGTAACCATCGGATTGGAGGTAAACGTCGAACTTCGGGTTCCAATCGTTGGTGTCGATCCCATTCACGATACCTCGAAATTTCCAGTCATTGTGGTTGATGATCTCATGGAGGCCCCAGCCACCTTCAGAGGTCTTCAGCTCCCATGCATAGCCATGGCTGACGGTAACCACCCGGTCAGCGGTTTTCAGGCCAGCTGCAAATATGTTGAAGTGATCACCACCAACTGGATCATAGAGCTTGAAAAGGTCCAGGTACTGTTCTGGAAGATCCACATGGAAAAAGTTTTCCACAGGACCGCGACCCTGATTACATAATTTACTGTTAGAAACTCTGAAAATAATACCTATTAAGATCTTGGAGGATAAAACTCAGTTATTGCCATATATGTATGGAATGTAAAAGGCTTCAGACAATATGACATTATTCCTATGAAACTATAAGGAAGATGCGTTATCAAACATGGCTAAAGTCATCTAAAAGTTAAGAAAAACATTTGGGCTTCGTTGGCTTGAAGGAACTGAAAGGGGGTAATAAATTGAATCGAAATTAGTAAATCCAACAAAATACGAATGACCTGTTTAGGACCTTTTTTTTTTTTTGTTATTGTTTTTTGTTTTCACTTCTATTTTTAAAAATATTTTTGTTTTTTTTTAAATAACAAATAGACATATGTTGGATCACACAAAAACTCTAAAACATAGAGAACACAAACCTGATGAGCTATGTTGTGTACGACCAAAACAGATCGAGCATACTTCATCACTCCATGGTCACGGTAATAGGCTTTCAGATAAACGGGTAATAGTGCGGTGTGCCAATCATTAGCAATAAAAACTAGATTTCCATCTCCATAACAGACACCTCCACATGGAACATGCCAGGGAACCTAAAAAACATGAAAATTATCCATCTTAAGCAGCATATAAGATCAAGTTCAAGAAAACTTAATTAAAACATTTTCTGAAGCTCTAAAGCACATAGAAATATAACTTCTAATGATTCTTAGAACCATAATCCTGTCTTGATATGTAACATTGAAACATCGGACATATGGAAGGATGCAACTTTAGCGTGTATTAGAGATAATTTTTTCACAACTTTCTTTTCCATATCGTTATTGTTGAATCCATAAATGTGCATGAAACACACCCAAATATATTAAGAATATTGAGTGAAAAAGATTATATAGAAATGGAGAAAGAAAGAAGAATACTTAAGAAAAAAAAAAGCTATGAGATTTATATAAAATAAACTTGAGTACAGGATATAACATCTTAAAGGAAAATTGCATAAAATTATACAACTTAAGCTCACCTCTTGATCCCATATTTATAGATTTGAGTTGGGATTTGAGCATTATAAAATAAGCTATATATATGACTATATAAAAAATAAGAAAAAAATATATAATAGTTGTATATTTTGATCAAAATCTCTAACTTGATGAAGTTTTCCGACGAGTTCCTTTGATGTTGCTGGCTTAGCGTGTATTGATAGTAAAATAGTCGACTAGCCGATCAATGGTGTCTTGGAAAGTCATCTTTCCTTGAGTAGTCGCGACGGATGACTTCATAACTAGTAGTTGCTCGGGCTAACTAATTGGTCAATACTCTTTTAACTAAGAAGAGTTATTAGATCATAGTTGCTTTCTCGAGGAAAATTCTCTTATAGACTAGCAAGTCTCTTTTGGGCTGAGACCAAATATAATGAATTAACATGGCTTCAACCTGCTTGATTTAGCTTTAACTAGCTGACTTGACTTGAACCCTCTTTTCTATTTGGATGTGTATTTAGTTCCCTGATTCGAAAATATTTTTGAAAATTTACTAAAAAAGAATATATATATATATATATATATATATATATATAATTATAAAACCTTCATAAAAGTTTATTTTAATGTTGAATCTTGGTCAATCAATTTGATGTTTACTACTGATATTGACCTTTCGTCCATATCATCAGTACTTAGCTTATAAATATGAGATATCATTTGTCATTCAAATGCTTCTTCTACATCGCTTACTTTCTTTTCACCCTGCGATCACCTATCCTTGTAAAAGATAGAAGTTACTAAGGATAAAATAAACATTTTCGAAGATGATATCATTTCAAGCCTATTTGGCAAATGAATGAAAGATAGAACTTCTAAGAAGAAAAAAAAAGTGGGTGAAAACAAAAGAGATGAAGTCAAAAAGCAAGATCCAGAACTCGCTGCCTCTTCAAAGTCTTTTAGTTGATCAACACTGTTTCTCTCTTGCGAATATTAAAAAAGATGTTCCAAACAATTATTGCTTTCTCTCTCTCTAATTGAAGTTGAAATCAGAAGAGATGGTAAAAATAAAAAAAAATAAAAAATAGAAAAAACTAGCTTAATAAATTGTGCAAGTTTAATTAATGTCAATTTTTTTTCTCAGAGGATCTTAAGGGAGATGCTAACTATTGAACCTCCAACTAGCCAAGAGTTTATTAACGAAAGAGTATAAATCAGCTAAATGATGGTTCTTTTAAAAAGAGATATTACTCAGCTTCCAATTGAGATAGATGAGGATTGTGGGCTTCGAAGATTCATGCCCCAGCCTCCCCTCTCTTTTGGGAAAGTTTTAACGGATTAAGTTTCGAGGTAAATTTTCAGAAGGCAAATTGGGACTTTAGATAAGACACACCCAAAGATTTTTCCCTCATTTTGCGAGGACTTTATGATTTGAGTTCTGATTTCCTATAGGTGCAAGCCCTTAAAGTTAATTACCCCAACCGATAACGAGAGAGAACTTTCGATTAAGGCTAGTCGTCAATCAAATATGTAAAGATATGTATAACTGGCATATAGTAGCAACACGAGTTTAGGTGTTTGGAAGTTTGATATTTAAAATTAAAAATTTCACCATCTTTGCACTTAAAGTGGATGGTGGGGGAATGGATGATGGACCTGGTCAAGATCCCATGATTTCGTCGTCCAAAACCTTCATGATTCCTTGTCTACTTAGTCAAAGGAGATAGTCAACCCAGCCTGATAGAAGAATCCTTGTCGGAAACTATGGGTTGCTTCGTCCAAGGGTACCTTGTAGACATGAGGGGAGTATTTATCTAAGGGGATAAATTTGAATCCACATTAGTTGACATACATTGAAGGCCTAATATAAACATATTTAAAATAGATATCTCGATCGACACCTTGACCGTATATTTGTTCAATAGCTCAAGTCATGTTGACTCCTATCTACTTGCATAGAAGGATCGAGCTCAAGCTTAGCTTCATTATTTGAACCGCACGGCATCTATAGATGTCACGTGTGTACCCATAACACGCTCGTCAAGGCTCATGCGGGTGTATGATTGCATATGCATTTCTTTGTGTTTGTCTGTATACATATTATAGTGTATGTGTGGGGGCATTTTTTGCTATTTGACGTATTTTCTAAGGTAGCTTGTAGAGGTTCTTATATGTTGTGTTTGTCATTGCCCTTCTATATTTGCCTACCGGTGACGTGTTGAGTACACAACAGGTCTTCTATAGCGGCCCGTAGGAGCTTTTATCTGCTGCATATTATCCAGTGTTTGCTTGCATATAGCATGTAGTGCTTATGACAGGTATCCTACAACATCGTAGATATTTGCACTTTGCTATGCATCATCTACTCTTGCTTGTAGGGAGCCGATGTATTCAACTGATGTTAGATAATCGTTGGTTGTGAAAGTTTTATAGTGTCTTTGCTACAACGACTGATAGGTACTTTGAATATGTTGCGGACATGTTGTCTTTGCCTGCATGAGGGTCGGTATATTCGACTGTCATTGTATGATTTGTTGAATACGAGAGTGTTGTAACAACTCGTTGGTGCCTCGCATACATGTACTGTAGATAGCCTTGTAGATAGCCTTTGACTACATAAGACGTATTGTATATACATCTGCATCTTGATGTTCATTGCAAGGTGTTGTTATGGTTTCCTTAGATGTGTTGGTAGGATAATTGTCATATCTGCGATACATCTAACATTATCACTTCTAGAGAAACTAGGAGAATTGATGTGTCCCTTGAAGTTGAATCATTGGTGATTACAATTAGGAGACACTAGTCATATGCAGGTGTATCAATCATCTTTATTCATGGATGTTGCATTGCATTCATCGCCTCTTCTCCCCATTTTGCTTATGAGCATATCACTACATATTTCTCGCTACAATTCATGCATATTTTAGTGATTGTGTTACCATTGATATGCCTATTGCTCTTGCTCATAGACGATGCAATTATCACTGGTTGTATGCAATGAGTCTTTGTTTGCTCATTGATGCTTCTATCTTAGTTAACATGTAACCTCTTGATATTGATTAAAAAAATTGTATTAATAATTGCAAGCATGGCATTATATTTTCATCTGATTATTACTTGTAAGTGAGCAAAGTCTAAGGCTCTTTATTTATCACAAGTTCCATATTTGCTTGTTTGTATTTGATTACTCATCATTTGACAAATCATGGATTCATTTTGTACTAAAAAACTGTTTTAGAAAGCAATGAAAAAGCTATCCCAAACAAAGCCTAAGTGAGAAGTTACAATTAAATAATAAGCTCAACATGATTTATGGATATTATGTATAAAGTAGATTTGAGACCGCAAGGGCAAGAAAAACATTTCATGAATTTTTATTTCTATATACAGATATTAAATGAGAAGAATCATGAAAGTATGCGCAGAGCTTTCATCTTGCATGAAATAAATTAGATATATTGAACAAACAAAACATGCAAGATTACCTCTACAGCTGCTTTACAAAACAAAATCATCCGTTTCAGTATCTCCTGCACGTGAGGAGAGTGGAAAGTTATAAAATGACTACCCAAGTAACAAAGTTTTGGTCAAAGTGAGAAGCCTGATAATGATGAACAGAATAAATCTCAATGAAAAGGCTCATTCTTGCAAAGTTCGATACAGGTCAGTATATACAAAGAGTTCAACAGCTTACCAGCCTATCTCCACCATATATGTTATGCTGACAGTGCCTAAACAGCGAACACTCAAGAAATACAAAATCTACCCCATCAATGTAGGCATGGTAATAGGATACTTCAATATCCTGTGTCACACATTTTGCAGCAACAGATAAACTACACCATAGTCTGCTACGCTGCAGGAATAATCTCTTGCAATCTGCATCTACTTCATTCAGATTAAAGTTCTTACCTGTCCATCAACCTTATACCTTTTGCGCACTCCTGTGTTTTCTGGTTCAGGATAGTCACCATACATTGGTACCACAACCTAAAATGTAAAATCATAAATATATGTGAATTGTTGCCAACAATATTCATTTAGTTTATGTTTCAGATGGATCAAATTGGTCCAGTTTATGCACTTAATATCATAATAATCTCATTTTCATCCCAACTGAGGAAAACACAGTACCATCACCCGATGGCCTCGCCTAGCTAAAGCCTTTGGCAAAGCTCCAGCAACATCTCCAAGCCCTCCTATGATATATAAAAATGAATAATTGATGAGCGCACAGTGATACAGATATGTAAACACAAATTGGATGAGACGCCAATGAAAATGATTGTGAAATTTCCTCACCTGTTTTGGACCAAGGACCACATTCTGCAGCTACAAATAGGATATTCATGACATTGACCCCAGCCAAAGGAAGAGAAGGCTTGTTATCTTCCTCTGGGGCTAAATCATTCCCAAAACCTAAACTAATGGCATGTGGTTCTATCAGGTCCTCCAATTTTACATCTTCTGTCTCATACTTTTCACTAACTTGTAGCTTAGATTCCTGAGGTGGTGCTACAGATTTGGGGGTCAAATTGGCCTGTTTGAGTAATCCAATATCTCCTACAGAAGCCTTTCCATCTGGTAACCCACCATCAAGTTCATTTGATTTATCACGAAAGTTTCTAGAGGCACCAAGAAATGGAATTTCTGATGGTTTGGCTTCTGTTGCATCTATATGCACGTTGAAGCTGGAATGAATGTCAAAAAGTTCTTGCTGCACCGAGCTAATAGAAGAGCCAGCTTCCCCTTCTTCAGCAATTTGCGGAAAGCTCTAAAAACCAGTCACCACAATGTCAGTCAATTCATAATTTTAGCATTGTGATGGAATTAAAAACAATCTAGCTATATGTGACAGAACTACTTGAAACTAAGATGTTTTTTAATGAATCAATCTATGGCAAAAGTAATATTCAAGGCCTCAATATGAAACTTCAAGTAACTTTCAAAAGTTTTAGAAATGCTTGTCCCAGTGTCATCTTATGCAGAGAGGAGTTGAAAATAAAAGCCATTTCATATGATGCTATAGACAGATATACTAAGCTCCATTCATATCTACCTTTCTAGTGAATAGGTACTGACACAACATGAATACAATGGCAATTATAATGATACATTAAAGGCAAGAGAAACTGACACTCAGCCAAACTCAGAAAATCTTACATGCATAGAATGCCATGTAATGGTATGATTGCAAGATAATTTTATTACTACCTATCAATGATGTCAATTACCGCTACAAACTGTCAATGAAAAATACCAAAATATATCATAATCAAACGGTTCCAACAAAAGACATTCACTGTATAAAACAGCACTGTTTCCCTGTTTATTTCTTTCCTGCAACATAGGCATTATCATTCTCCACTAACGCCCCCAAGTGTCGTTCTGAACTATATTTTAGAGAGCCAATAAATATTAGTTTACACTATTAGAAATCACAAATAAAAAAGTTCACCATCCAAGATACTATCATGGTATTGGCATTGTATAAGTCCATCTTCTGCATGTAAATTCTTTACATTAAGAAATAATGAGCATGTTGCAATACTCATAAAAAAGTTCAGAATGAAGGGTGGAAAAGCTGTTGGACCTGATGATATTCCAATAGAGGTGTGGAAATGCTTAGGAGATGAAGGGATTTCTTGGCTTACTAAACTTTTTAATACTATTTTGAAGACTAAAAAGATGCCAGATGAGTGGAGAATGAGTGTGTTAATTCTTATTTTTAAGAATAAAGGTCAGGTGGATGAGTGGCTTTACCCTTAGAGATAGGATACGAAATGAGCATATACGTGAAAAGGTTGGAGTAGCTCTAGTAGAAGATAATATTAGAGAAAGTCGCCTAAAATGGTTTGGTCACATAAAACGGAGGCCTTCCAATGACTCGGTTAGGAGAGTAGAGGTATTAGATTTGACTTATGTTAAGAAAAGTAGAGGCAGATTACAAGTTCGTTGATCGGCACAAAATAACTTGGCGGTATTCCTCTATATACTATCCCAGAGCAAATGGACTGGCAGAAGTCTTCAACAAGATGCTGATGAAATTATTGAAGAAGATCCTTACCAAGAACAAAATAGAGTGGCATACAAAGATAGCAGAAGCGTTATGGGCGTATCGTATAACCTATAAAACGCCAACCAAAGCCACTCCTTACTCTCTAGTGTTTGGAGTTGAAGCAGTGTTGCCACTAGAAGTTGAACTCCCATCTCTTCGAGTTGCCATCCAGAATGAGATTACTCAAGAACAAAATGCTCGCCTAAGAATGGAGGAGCTTGATGCACTCGATAAACTCAGGTTGCAAGCTTAGCAGAACCTAGAGATCTATCGAGCAAGAATGACAAAATCTTTTGATCGAATGGTGCGTCCTCGATCATTTCAAGAAGGGGAAAAAAAGGGGAATTGGTCCTGCTGCAGAGAAGGTCAATCATCCCACATAGAAAAATCGGTGGTAAATTCATATCCAACTAAGAAGGAGCTTTCGTCATCGAGAAGGTATTTCAAGGAGAAGCCTATCAACTCATCGATCTGAATGGTCAAAGGCCCATGCCGCTGACCAATGGCTGATACCTGAAGAAATACTATGCATGAAATTGCCTAGAGAAATGTTATGTTTAATATGCTATACATTTTCATATATGATTTAGCATATACATTTCATATTTTGAAATTCTCCTGTATTATGAGAATGTATTTCAAAATCCCCCATCAGATTGGGGGCATTTTAAATATTTGTTCGGGTCGACATCGCGCTGCATGCCGAGATCCCCAAACAAATATTTAAAATCTCAAGAATTCAATTCTATTCTATTCTGAAATGTCCCTGCGAGACAGGGGGCATTTTAAATATTTATTCGGGTCGACATCGCGCTGCATGCCGAGATCCCCGAATAAATATTTAAAATTATCAATTCAATTGTTCTTTTGTGCTAAAGAATACAAATACTTATTTTTCAAAGCCTATGCAGGTGATCTTTCGAAATTTAGAGACACCACCTTCTCCAACAAACCAAGACTCAAAAGTCAAGAAAGAGACTTTTGTGGCTACACACTCCTACAAAATTGAACCGAAAAAGCTCGAAGTCTTTCGACAGCCTGAGCTTAAGGTTCTAATGGGTGTAAAAAGTCGGATCCAACAAGCCCACCGGATCGCTGGCAGCTCCATCTACTCAACAAGCCATAAGAAAGGCCGTAGTAGCGAAACCCCCACTTCGTTAACCCGTTAGTAGGGACTGTAGAAAGTACAAAGGCAAATTTGACTCGACAAGTTCAAGTGATCGTAGTCTACCAAGTTCTCCTAAATGATTGGATAATCAAAGTTCCAGTGGAATGATGAGTCTCGAACAACCATCGAATGTTCGTAGGCTCCAAAATCTTCAACCACAAAGGATGACTCCAAATCTACTAACTTCAGTAAAATCAGCATTGGAAAGCGCAATTCCCATAGCTCAAGTTTGAAGCCTGAATGGGTGTAAGAGGTCGGATCCAACAAGCTCAAATATGGCCAAATCGCTGGCAGCTCCATCTACTCAACAAGCTATAAGAAAGGCCGTAGTAGAGGAACCCCTATCTCAGCAACCAGAGGATAAAGAGCTGTCAAATCCTAGCTCTCCCGATCTAATGAACTCAAGTGACTCAGATTAAAGTCTCCTCAAGTGGTTAAGGATCAAGATACTACCCGCGTTCGGTACTATCAACTGAATCAAGAACCTGGAAATCTTTAAACAAATCCTTCAAGCACAAAGCGAGAATCGAAACAACTTTTCTTCAAGTCCGTCAAAGTACAAAGCAAATAACAGAAGAAAATTATCCCAAAGTTCGTGAAAAGACTATGGCTGAACTAAGTGGATTTCGTCATCAACAAGTCCGCTATGCACAAAGCTCTGGACAGATGACTTCTTGCCACCGACCTAGTATAAACTTAAAGGGTTTAGGTCACCGGCATCTACCCCTTCAACAAGCCCGCCAAAGCTAGAAGCAGTGGGCAGAAGGCATACAAATCTTCTGACAAGTCAGTAAAGACAAATCCGATAACCCTTCAGCAATGTCTGCAGCATAAAGGACAGGACAAAAGGAATCAAAATCTCAGGACTCAAGCAAAAGCTGTAGAATGAGCACCCTGAATGATATCTACAAATATCTCTAAAGATTATGAGCATTTTAAATATTTATTTGGGTCGACATTGCGCTGCGTACCAAGATCCCCAAATAAATATTTAAATTTTCATCAAGATACAACCAGATGATAGAATACTATTGAACATATACATAAGAGCTATAAGCTAAAGTGATTCTGGTGACTAAAGAAAGCAAATGGTGGCGATGTTATCCGCTAGTGTCAACCTACAAAGACAATACATCAGCCGTCTATGCATACATCTAAAAGAGCCGTGAAGAAGGAAAGAATAGTGTGACATTCAAATAAACTTTTGAAAATCCACTAAAAGAAAGTAGTGTGACATCCAAACAAGTTTTGAAGATCTGCTAAAAGATAACCCTTGTGTGACATCTAGAACAAATATCTAGAGATCCACATGGTCAATCAGCATGCAATAAACATGGCTCGCTTCAAGCGCGTACCACATTTGTTGAGGGCATTTGTCGACCTGTACAGATTAAAAAAAAATCAAATCAAAATAAAATCTCATACCTGCTCTGCCCTTCGCACGTCGTCGTTGCTCTTCCCACGATCTTCGTGTAAGGCTCGCACGACTCGACGTCGCATCCGCCACTTGCGTCGTTAAATTACCGAAGGAACGAGGCCTTCGGCCTCTTCTTTTCCTCGCATTCACTCACACCCGATCTCTCCTCTCCCGAGCGCTGCTGTCACTCCCGCTCTCGCTCTCTTCTTCTTGTGAGATCAGAAGTTACGACATCTTGACCGGAAGCAAGGAACATGAGCTCGCCAATTGTGAAGTTAACTTTCTGCCTTCCGCTGCTCCTTCAACTCCTCCGTGGACATTCGACTTCGTTCCTCCTCCGGCGTTGTTCCTCCGACGCCGCCTCCTACCTAACGGATCGAAAGTTAAGACACTCTGGTTGGACGGAACAAGGGGAGCTCGCCGCCTCCTGTGTCGCCGTTCGGCTTCGCTCGATCGTCCGATGTTCCCTTCCGATGGATCAAAAGTTACAACATTTTGACATGAAGTAAGAACGGGAACCCGTAATTAAATATGTTTAATTATATTTAATTATTTTTCAATTATAATTAATTAATTAAGTAAAAATAATAAAAAATGCTTCTTTCCCTCTCTTGCCTCGACAAGCGTGTCGAGCCGGCGGACCACCTATGCATGCCTTTATTGAGCGTGGTAGGAGGAAACCCGGTGCGATACCTACGACGAGATAAGCGAGCGACCCCTTGCCCTCTTACCTCGACAAGCGTGTTGAGCCGGCGAACCACCTACGCACGTCTTTGTTGAGCATGGTAGGAGGAAACACGGTGCGACACCTATGACGGGGTAGGCGAGCAACCTTTCGGCCCCCAAAGTCCTGTCCTCTGTGTGTGTGCCGAGCCGGCTAACCACCTATGCACGTCTTTGTTAAGCGTGATAGGAGGGAACCCGGTGCTACGCACACAACGATACCAGGTAAGCCTGGTACACGCTTTTATTAGTGTGGTCAGGACAACCTTTAAGTACCCGTATGCGGCTCTATACCTGCGGGGAAACAACTGCTTTCTTCTCTTGCAACAGGTACCGAAGACCGCATGCACGCCTTTGTTGCGCATGGTGGGGACAAAGACTTTACACGACCGTGGTGTCCTTGCAAGAGGGCACCTACCATGCACGCCTTTGTTGCGCGTGGTGGGAAAGGCCCAGTTTTCTCATAGTTTTCCCCTAAACGGGGGAGACGCCGGGGGGCTGCAGAAATTTCGGGTGAATGTACGATCACACTCGGACATGTTTGAACTCAAAAGAACAAGCATTGAGACTCAAATGGACAACAGTTGACTCATATTTGTGGACCTTTGAACTTGATTGAACACGAGCAGGGGACCTAAACAAAACTCAAATGATTAATAAAGGCCTGAACCAAATAAAATAAAATCAAAGTTGGAACCAAATTCAAGTCAATCTGAACATAAAATTGTACCTGCAAAAACTCCAGAAAACTTTGAACAGTCATTTGAACATACACTCGGGCTCAAATTCAAATATACTAAGTGTGGAAGACACTAAAATTGAACAAGACTTAGACTGCAGAGGACTTATACTTGGACTTGCATCCTGGACTCAAATTGAACATTAATGACTTGAGCAATTCGAACTCATGTGAGAACTTGAGTCGGACTACAGGGGACATAAAACTGAGCTTGCACATTAAGCTTATGAACCTGATTTAAATTGGTCCTGAAAGGACTTGAACTTGAGCCTGGTTTGAGCATCATTTCCCTCTCACGCTCGATGCCAATCAAACTACAACACCTTTCACGGATGTGTTCAATGAAGCTTACAACGAATGTAAATGCCCGCCAGTGTCAACAATCATCCGATCGAAGACAAATACACATGTCCCTTGCAACTAGAAGGTAGTTGATTAGCAGACTAAGTGCAAATGTCTACGAATGTGAAGTGACAACAATAAAGTGTAAATCTCCTTACAAACAAATGTCTATTGATTGAAGAAGGCAAACCCGTCATTTGGCAGCGGAAGACTCACCCCTATAAGCAAGTGCAATCATCGACCCACCTGAGATTGGTGAAAGGTGGATATGATGCAACAACAACGAATATTCTACGAACATCTCTAGGAGCTCGTAGTGGATTCAACAATTCCCTGCAAATAGATACTTGTGGATAACAACAATGTATTGTAAGTACATAGAATCACTGTGAACATAAATACAGATATCACCTACGACAGTGGTGATCAAGATCTTCAAGTACGACGGGTATAAAGGAAACTCGATGTATGAAAAAGTACAACCCCTAGCAGAATCGGAAAAGAAGTTTGAACAAATTAGAATTAAACTTCCTGCTGTTCTAAAGTTTCTTTCAACCCTATATTTAAGAAGAAAATAATGCTTGCATCTACAAATATCAGAAATAAATCTACTACACTACACTAAAGACCCTGAAATTAATTCTTTTCAAAGCAACGATCTCTGACTTCAAATTCCAGAAAAAACCTTCCCCGGTGAATGAGAAAGGGGCAGTCAACATCAAAACGCAACGCCACCGGATCTGCAATACTTATACAAGCAGACATAAGGCATCTACAATCTACAACGCACCGCCATCGGATCTGTAACACTCGTACTAGCAGACAGAAGGCGTCTATAGACTCTCAAATGAAATGTTATGCATTCAAATGACAATTATCCGCACAACCAAAATATGATAAAATACTCCTGCACGTGCACCATAAATTGTATACACATAAGTACACTAAAGGGTATATAAAAATCACCCGCATGGGCCCCGGCAAGCGTGTTATTGGTATACATGTGACACCTGGGGATGTTACAAGGTCAATAAGTAAATTCTAGTTCGAACCTGATCCTTCTATACGGATCAATAGAAGTCGGCAAGGTTCGAACCTTCAAATAAGTACACAGTTGTGGGAACCTGTGTATTTGTTTTAATACATTCATATTAGACCTTCAAGGCCTAAAATCAAAAGAATTCACCAAACAAAGGCATGAAATCTACGAAACCCGATCCTCCTAGGCAGATAAATAAGAGTAGACAGGGTTCGAATCATCAGATAAATATGTGGTCATGAAATTGACCGGAATATTTATTTTGTACATTCATATCAGGCCTTCAAAGTCTTTATCAAAGAAAATTCATAAACAAAGGCATGAAGCCTACGAAACCCGATCCTCTATCAGCAAGTTGATAGGGTCGACAAGGTTCAATCAATAAATGAAAATGACCCCAAACATCCTGATGATGGCCGTGTTGAATGCTAATCTCAACCGGAGGGATTCAAAAATATTTTTAAATGTCTCTCAAAAATTCACATAAAATCCAAACTCTACGAAGTCCAAAACCCAACAAATCTCAAATGCCAAGATATTTAAATTCAAAATCATCCATTAACACTTAAAGCAAAATCCATCCATCCTCCGCAACAGTTTTTCGGGGTGGACAAATCAAAAACTACTTCAGCTCACAAAGAGTCAAATGCCCAGTCAAAAATATCACTAGGATCATTTCTTAAATAATCTCCTGCCAGTAAGGACGTGGTACGTGTCATCTAACCGGCAGTTTTGCCGTCAAATGGCACCGCAGGATAAACGGTTATGACCCGGGGCCCTCTGAACCGAGTGATTTTGCAGCCAAATGGCGCCATGAAATACCAGTTATGGCCAGAGCCAATATGTTCCTTAGTGGCATCAAATCCTTGGGATATGAATCAATAGGATATGATCGATAGGGCACAAAGCCCTCTGCTAGCTAAGGTTGATTCAAATTTGTCCCCTCAGACAAATATTCACCCCTAGTCTACAAGGTCCCCTTGGACGAAGCAACTCATGGCTGCCGACAAGGATCCTTCTGTCAGGTTGGGTCGACTACCTCCTCTGACTAAGTAGACCAGGGACCATGATGGCCCGGGACGACGGAATCATGGGATCTTGATCGGGTCCATCATTCATTCCCCCACCATCCGCTTTAAGTGCAAGATGGTGCAATTTCTATTTAAATATCAAATCTTCCAACCCAAATTCCAAATCCAAAAACCCAACTTTTCAATTCTCAAATCCAAACTTTTCAAATTCCTATGCCCATTGCTACTACTATATGCCATATAACATGTATTCTCTACGTATCAGATTGATGACTAGCCTTAATTGAAAGTTCTCTCTCGTGATCGGGAGGGGTAATTAACTATAGGGGCTTGCGCCTATAGGAAACCAGAACTCAGATCATAAAGTCCTCGCAAAATGAGGGCGAAAACTCTGGGTAGTGTCTTATCTACAAACCCATCTGCCTTCCAAAATTTACCCCGGAACTTACTACATTAAAACTCCCTCGCCTAAAAAAAAACAATCAAATTTGCGTCGTGCGGGGGGGAGGCCGGGGCCGAATTTTCGGAGCCCACACGAACATAATAGAACTAGATATTAAAAATTGGCCTCACGTGGTGCCCAATAGGAATGAATGGAAATGAGGAACCACAAAGCCAACCATGAATAGTTGGAATAAGCCCAACCACGATAATGATGACAACTAACAAAAAATATCTTCTATACACACCAGCATAAAGACATAAAGCTTAGTAGAGGTAATATAATGGAATCCTTAATTAACATCCATATGATATGCAATCATTTTCGCCAATTGTCCATATCTTAGTAGAATTGCAATAACAAACTTGATCACCTCCATAAATGAATTGCTTTCCCAATCTTTCTTTTATTTTCATTTTCTTTTCCCATTAATACCCCTATAGAATCCTCAGCATGCATAAGCAGTCCTATGGTTCTTGAAGAACGCCAAATTTCAAAAGAGACAGAAAACAAGTGCATATTAGTATTTGCCACAAATCCTTGTTGATCAATTCTATTTGTGCTCACAGTCACACTTTGTCTATGTATGATGAGCAAAAAAGTTGGCTGATGCCGGTCTCCGGACTGCGTTATACCCACATTTCTGGAGCAATCAGGTAACACAGACTACCTTCGCCCCAAAAGTAAAATATGTACCCCTTCCCCGCTCAAATTTTCTAACTTAATGCATATACAGAAAAGATTCATAACCTAAGCTATGTGTCACTGACCCCAATGGAAGGAAAAACTATTGCTAAATAGCCTGGAAATGGAAGGCATTCAAAAGAAATGAGAATAAATGATTATTAGATAAATTAAACTAAAAAGGAGCTCAAGGTCAAAGGTAAGGCTTCCTAGTACAAAGCTAGCTTCAAATTCCCAAGCCAAACCACAACGAAAGGTTCCCAAGAAACCAGATTCCAACTTGAATCAACTGAAACCAATATCCCCCAAAGAGATTAATGACAAAACAATAGAATCGCACCACAAAAAACAAATAAAAACACCTTCTGAACAAGCTTCCTTTGCAGTGACGAAACCTCAAAACCCTCCTCACCCGCACCGCAGCTGACCGAGAACTGACGATTTTCAGCTTTCAAAGACCTAACTTTCAGGACGCCCCCGCTAAAATATGAGATCCTCTGCTCGGCTTTGTACAACGGGTAGACGTCCAAAACCAAAGAGAGAGTCCCCAAAGACGCCATTTCCCTCACTAGATGACGTCAAGGATCTCAAGCGATGAGTTAAACTAACCCACAAGGAGAAATGTGGAACGTTAGAGAAAAAGAGGAAGAGTTCGAGATTGGAGAAACAGCCAATGAGCAAAGTTGGAGCTTTTGAAGAAGTGTGTCCATGGAGAGGGAGATGAGGGACAACGCACACAATGGAGTAGCTCAGATTTGGATTTGCTGTCGTGGCTATTGATTAGTGTGTGCCAGATGATATGCGAGGTTTCCTCGTCTCTGTACAAAAATGCTTTTTTTTTTAAGCCCTCATATTTCCCCGAGAAAAAATGTAATTGTTTTAGTGGTCCATGAAGAAAACGTGGAGACATTGTGTGGTCTGCATTTACCTAGAATAGTATAATTTAAATTAATAATAATCGATGTAAAAATACTCTTTTTTTTTTTCCTTTGAGATTCGCCTACTTTTGTTTTTCCTGAATTCCGGACGCTTCGGGTGGCAGCAGCCTCTCCGCAGTGTTTTACTGTTTTTTTAAGAGAAAAATAAAAAATGTTTAGATTTTATATTATTCTGAATTTTGTTATATATTATTACATAATGAATAATTTGTGATATTTAATATTCTGTAAATATATATATAATGTGTAAAATATTTTTAAAAATTAATATATTGTTTTATGGATCTTTCTTCGTGTGACTTTAGCTCTATGCCTTTATGTTGTATTTTGTTTTAGATAATATTTTATTGTGTTTATTAAAATATTTAAATAATAATATATTAATATAGAGCTAGAAACTATATAAGTAACTTCGCATCATCACTCATTTTTATATTAAGTTGTGTATATAAATATTCATATATAGTATATGTTTATATTAAAAAATTTTCAATAGAAATTTATTTGCCTAAAAAAATCACTTGATAAATGTGCATTTTAATGAAATATTTATATTAAAAATTTTCAAAATAAAATACAAAATCATCCGCGGTTCAATTTTAATAACTTACAATCAAATTGAGAATATTAATTAGATGATTCCAACGACATCAAATGAAATCAGAACTGATTCCAAATAAGTCAAAATCAAGCAGTTGAAAGATAGTCAAAATTTTTGGGATATTAATTGGAGGACGAAGCACTGAATCTTGCATGCTTATAGTCGAGCGGCTTGATGTGTGAATTAAAGTACCTATAATCACTCTATTTTGAATTCATTAAAGTACTTAAATATTGAATAAATAATTTACAAGCAAACGATTTAATATGAGCAACCCAACGAAAATTTGGCAAAAATCATAAAAATGTCCATTTTAAAATAACTATAAATAGACCTACATCTCCACATAAAAAATGAACTTTGAGTTTAGAGAGCTTAGAGATTTGAAGAAATATAAATCTCTTCATGACATTAGACAGTGATGATCATTGCCAAACATCATGTCACCTTTTTTTTATTATCTAAGCTAAATCGCCTCACTGGTATCATGCTATTGTTGTCTCTTGACCATTATCGTTTTAATGTCCTTGTTTGACTACCATCACATAACAGCCATCATCTAATTGTCATCTCCTGACCACATCACCTAACGTCCATTATCTGATTGTCAATTCTTGACTCTCATCATCTGATCTTAGTCTCCTAATTTGTCGTCTCCTCATCATCGTCATGATCTGATTATCACATGTTCATTGTCATCACTCGATTGTCATCATTTGACAGTAGTCTTCCAATTGTCATCTTGCAATCACCATTGCCTGATCACTATAATCAATTTTGTCAAAACCCAACCATAATATGACAGGTCCTATCGTGTTGAGCTGTGACAGGTAAATCTCAAAATCTAGTTTTGGAATTCAAAATTTTCTGCAAATATTCATTGAAATATACTACATAGTATAGAACTACTAAAACATTCAAAAATGAATATCTGACGGTTCCAAAAATCTAACTTGAACCAATATGTGTCAATTTCTTAAAAAATTTCACCAGTGGCCAAAAATTATGAAAACATAGGATAATTAAAACACTACACTATAAATATTCTGGCGAAGACATTTTGTGATTTCGATTTATAATAACTCCTAAAATAATTATTGACTCTTCTAAAATGATTTCTAAAATTTTTAAGGGTTTTCACAAATTCAACATCACCAAACTATTATCATCAAACTATCATAACTTGTAATCTCATGTTCTCCAATTGAGAGGAAGAGTGAACTCTTATAACATATCTACATATTGATCATTTTATATGCGTCAAGCCTCATGATTTTTTTCCTTTTAGATTTTTCATATAAAACTTATAACCCCTACTATATTATTTATTATTATATGTGTACTGGATCATTATGAAAAACTTAGGCATAAAACTTCTATGTTCATCACAATCAATTTTTTCACAGCAACAAAAATAAATAAATAATCATGACTTTCTTATATAAATTTAATTTAAAAATACCTTATATAATTTTTTTTATTGCAAAAAAACTAGATAGTCATTAGTCAATTATTAATTTAGTTTATTTAGAAAATCATAAGAGCACAATCATTTTCAAACTATGATCGAATTTATTTGAAGGTATAGCACTACTTTTAGGATATTAGACTGTTTTGCCAAATTGGAATATTTGCATACTTGTCATTATAGTACTCATTGCACATGATAGTTCTTCCTAGTGATACAATAAGGATAACTATTTCTTAGATTTTATTTGGGACAGCTTTTTTATAGCTTTTTAAAGTAATTTTTTAATACAAATTTTTTTTAAACTAATACAAAAAACTTCTTGAAAAAGCAATAAAAAAACTATCACAAACTAAGGCTTCATTTAGGACAGTTTTTTTGCTGCTCTAAAACTGTTTTTAGTACAAAAATTTCTAAGCAGCAAAGCTGTCCCGAACGAAGCCTAAACCTTAATCTATAACAAAGTTCTTATTATTTGATAGCTCGGTAGGCAAAACATTTACAATTGGATGAGTAAACGCCACGACAAACTTCTAGAATTCTTTTTTCCTTGTCTATTTTGAATATATGTGCAACATCATACATTACAAATATTGACTAGGGAAATAGGATTGTTATTCTTTTACCAACTAATACTAAAATAGCTTACTTGATACTTAGTGACATGATAGCTGACACCTCAGCAATAATTTCATTTAAGAACAAATCCAAGACAGTTCATTTTGCGTATTTGGATTGATGGCCTCTTCCAGACAATTTTCTTACTGTTTTATTTTTCAGATCATAATTATAATTTTTATTTGATTATACATTTCCATTTTTTAATAAATTTATGTGCTGAAAATTTATTTTTTATAATAACTTTCAAAAAAAAATATTTTCTCTACAACAATTATAACTATCTTAAATAAAAAAGCTAAAGCTATTCCAAACGGATCCTGAATATGATTACCAAAGTAAAGCCAAGAATATAAAGCAAAAGAATTCCTGGCTTATCTTTCGAGAAATCTTTTCACTACACTGATTTCCTTTTCTTTTTTGTCCTCTATGCGATTGAAGACAGCTCGACTATGACATCAGATGTAAACGTTTTAGCTACCTAATTACCTCAGTTATCCGTATGAATGCAATTCTTCAAGATTTAGATTTCAAACCTCAAATTGTAGAGATAATTCCCACTAACAACCTTGCAGTCTGTACTAATTTTGATCCTTTAGAATCATGATGCAACATAGGTTTCATTTGGGACGGCTTTTTTTCTGCTTCTTAAAGCATCTTTTTATTACAAAAATTTTAATTTTGTACTTAAAATCTATCTTGATCAACAATCCTCAGTAATATTGAAGAATAAGTACTGCAAATTAAATATCTTAATTTGAATGAAATGATATAAACAGTAATCACCTTACTGTGGCTTCTCATCTTTAGAATTTGATTTACAAAACTTCACAGAAAATTTTTCAGATAAAAAAAAAAAAAGGAAAAGCAATCAAATTTCACATAACATCATAACATTTCTTCTGATAAACCATATTTACAATAGGGTTGCTTCTGTACACTCTTAAGCCTAACCATCATATACCAGTAAACACAAGCCTCTTGGCATGAACACTCCATAACACATCTAATTCTAAAATCCTAACGATAGCCAACAAATGGGAAAACAAAAAGGAGTACTGGTTAGTCCAATCGGTTCACTGTCATCAATTTCATCGATTCTTCGTATTTGGTCAGAATATCCGGCATCAGTTTGCAGCAATGAAGCCCGTACGTGTCGAAAACGGTTAAGTGAGTTCTACTTGCTGATTTCATTATTCGCCACAGCAACTCGCCCGGTTCGTCTCCTGGAGCTTCTGCCAGAGGCACAGCATTTCTCTTGGCTGCTGGTAATGGGCAACAACATACCCAGTCTCACACCCTTCAATCAGAATCCTGCCATCATTGACATATTTAATATCCATCCCTCTTTTCTTCATATTATTTGTCCATATGCCCATTGCCACATCTTCTAATTTGAACATCTGCACATCACTATACAGTTCAGTTTTCTTACAGGAAAAAAATGGAATGCAATGGAAAGATTTGATGCTAGGAATGTAATTCTGAATAATTCAGATAGGTGAAAAGCAGAAGATGAACAAGTCTGCTTCAGGCTTCGTTTGAAACAACTTTCTCATTGTTTTTTAAAACAGTTTTTTTTTTAAACAAAAAATTCTAATTCAAGAAATTTTTTAACTAAAACATCGTTTTAGAAAGCATTAGAAAAACTGTCCCAAACAAACCCTCAGTAAGAATAAATAGTATGCTATCAGAGGCAGTCAATTTCTTTTGAATTTTGTTACATTATGTCCTTGGTGAGGGTAAGAAATGGTTGAAAATAGTAATTAAATATATAAAAGAGAGCAGTTCATGTTAAGCTAAAAGGAAAACCAATTATGAAAAGAAACACATATAAGAGAAAGAGTTAGGCATCTAACCTTTAATCTACCTTTCTTATGTTGCTTGTAGACAGCTTTTGCTATGTCTCTGGACACCACATAGCCCGGTCCATGAGCCCATGGAGGATAAGTTTGACCAGGCCATTCCTTTAAAAATTAGCTATCATTAGATCCTGGACTCTTAAATTGCAGGTTAAACTAAAATCAATCGTATTTCAAAAGGAAAATGACAACAGACAACTTCTAAATTTAAATCCACATGTAAGCAGTATAACATCTGTTTTTGGAGATACTGTATAGGGAGAAATTTTGGGTTAGGATATTATGACTTAAATTTGATCATAATGATCTTTATAGGCTTATAGCCATTATATTTGTATTCAAATGAGTGCAATATGTGAATAAATAATAAAAATATGTATTGCACTCATATAAAGTAAATTTTATGATTATTGATACATCGCCAAAAATCGAATTGACCAAGAATCTGGATGCATATTTGAATTGAAAACTTTCAACATTAAATTCAGGAGCCATCCGAACTTTAATCTCAACAAACTTATAGTCAAACTGAACATCTTGGCAAGACAAACCCAATAACACCAAAATTGTTCCAATTCGAGCCCAAATAGGCTCAAATCAATGGCCTGAAGTATATTTGGAAGCTTCAACATACTAATTGGATGATCAAACGATCTCTAAATGTGGCATGCTTATAGTCGAATCGAGCGGCTTGACGAGACGAATCCAACAAGCCCAAGATTGCTTAATTCTGATGTCATTAAGGCACTTAAATACTGAACGAACACTATGATCAATGGATCAATATGAGTCATTCGATGGAGCACTCCGAATTTGTCACGGATCTTTTCCATATTTACAAAACATGTGACTCTCAAAATCTATAAATATACCTCTACTCCCTACATAAGGTGAGGAGGTTTGGAGGCTTGGATATTTTGCTAGAGATTGGAGAGGGTTTTGAAGCTCCAAGTATCCTAGAGCTCCACCCAAGCACCACCGCCATCAAACGTTTGTCAGCTGGTCATCATAGCTAGACCTCCCCCGGGCCATCAATCAATGTCAAACCACCACCAGCAAACCTTCTCTGCTTACTTCTATTGATTCTCTAATTCATGATATATAGAAGCTGGAGTTAGAAATCACGAGATCCATGGACTCATATTCACATTTCACGCACATTATTTCAAATGATTATTCAACCTACTCTATAAGAGAAGATTCAAGAAGCTTAGAAATAAGATATAGAGTATCTAAAGTTGATTGAGTAGATTAAATCGGGTAAAAAAATTGCACTGCGCATATCAAATTCAGGTGTTATTTTTTGCAAGAATAGATTGTGGGTTCCTATTATTGGAGATCTGAATATCGAGATTCTGCATGAGGCACATTATTCAAGTAATACGACTCATCTAGGAAATAGCAAGATGTAAGACAATCTGAAAGGTATGTTTTGGTGGCCCGAATTAAAGAGAGATATAGTGGATTTTGTTTTGAAATGTGAAGCTTATCAATTAGTGAAAACAGAGCCTCAACAACTAGGTGGTCTTCTGCAATCATTACCTATTCCAGAGTGGAAATGGGAGGAAGTAACAATGAACTTTGCTAAGAGTTTTTTTTTAGGACTAGGTAAGACCATGATGCTTTATGGATCGTGGTAGATTGTCTAATAAAATCTTCACATTTCATTTCGATCAGACAGACATATTATGTAGACAGTTTAGCTCAGATCTATAAACGGGGCATTATTCGGCTGCACTGTATTCCAAGGTTATCATTTCCGATCTTGATGGCCAGTTTACCTCCAAATTATGGGGAGGCATTCAGCAATGTTTGAGTATGAGATTGCACTTCAATACAACTTTTTATTCATAGACTAATAGACAATCTGACAACACTATTCAAATATTGGAGGACCTTCTGAGGTTGTGTATTCTGCATTTTGATGGAAGCTGGGAGGATACATTCCTTTGATTGAGTTTGCCTATAGTAATAGCTTTCAGTTAAATATAGGTATGACTCTTTACGAAGCTCTATATGGTAGAAATGCATGACACCTTTGTCTTGGACAAAGATGGTAGAAAGACAATTGTTAGGTCCAGCTTTGGTGGATGATGCTACAACAAAGGTCTGTCTCTCCAAGATAGATTATCAGCTGTGCATGATAGGCAGAAAAAATATTATGATTTGAAGCACTGTTCTATGAAGTTTTTAGTATGTGATTTTGTGTATGTTAAAGTTAACCCAATAAAGGATGTCAACAGATTTGGAAGAATCAATAAGTTAAGTCTAAGGTATATTGGACCTATTGAGGTTATTAAAATGATTAGTAGTTATGCTTACAAGTTATTGTTGTCTAACCATATGTTTAACATACACAATGATATTTCATGTGTCTTCTCTGAGGAAGTGGATATCTAATTCAGGGAACATATTATTTGCATATGAGCTTGAGGGACGTTCAAATCTGAGCTACAAGGAAGAACCAGAAATGATTCTAGCATATGATGTTAGAAAATTAAAAAATAAGCAAATTACAATGTTCAAGTTGCAGTGGAAGCACAGATCTGAAAGAGAAGCCACTTAAGAGAACGAATCTGAGATGAGGAAGTTATATACTAATCTGTTCCATTTATCTGAATCCTAAAATGTCGAGGAGAATATTTTTCTGAGGGAAGAATTGTAACACCTACTAAATTATGATATAATTGCACCTGTTATGACTTGATTTGAAAAAAAAAGGTAACTCACTAGATATCTACATTTGAACCTATCTGCATGTGTTTGAAAAAGTTTTGTATGCATGTGTTCTGAAATGAGTTCCGAGAGTCTGTGCGCATGTTTGTAAAATCTAAATTTTTTTCTCCTAGGGCACCACAACGCCTGAGTAGGCAACGCTGCGGCACTGAGCTCTCTGAAATTTTGCAAATAAATTTATGTTGAGGCACCGGGGGTGGCGCAACGGCGAGCATGATTTGTCACTGCGACGCTCGGCCTAATTTTTTTTATTAAAAATATATATTTCCATTAAATCAAGCCATTTCACCCAATCAAAGTAGTCGATTAGAGAGAGAAGGATTTATAGAGAGAGAAAAAAGTTTTGGGTTGCTTCAAATCATTTTTTGATGACAGCTCAATTCTGAAAGTTATTTGGCTTGAGATAAGTTGTATTTTGCATATCTTAGTTTTTAATAATTCGACAATTTTGAGATTTTCCTAATTTAAAATATAAATTTTTATTGTTCAATTTGAGATAGCTTTTAAATGGGAAAACTTTCACCGCGTAACTTTTGATATATTGTAGAAAATGTAGTTCTGGACATTTAAGTATTTTTCTACAAAATTTCGGCCGAGTAATTTTGTGATAATGCTTTTCTATAATTATAGAAAAATAATAAGACACTGGAAAATATTACACCAGAACAATTAAAGTCCCAAAACATAGTTCTTCACAATTACTGATAATTTAGTAGAATTCTGAGTCCGTAAAATTTAGCTGCACTGTGTTGGGTCTGACTGCTAAAATGTTGTCCATGGGGCAAATCTCTGAAATTCTATAAATAGTCCAATTTATGTTCTTAACTGTAATGTCACAAGAAATAACTTATATATTGTGCATTTTTTAATGATATTTTGTATGTATCAGAGGAGTTTTGAGGGAGTTTTATTTAGAGTTCTATTATATATCCACGAAATTCTGTTGCGAAAATTCTAAATGTGCTGAGAGCACTTGAAGGCCTGAGGGCCAAAACTTCTGAATGGGAGGCCAAAGGGTCTGGAGTTTTAAATGAGAGACATAAGGGATGGAGTTTTGTTACTTTATGTTATGCATTGTATGCTTATTTATATTCCGTTCAACATACTTTACATAATATTCTGTAACATGACTAGTTATCGATCCTTTATTGTAAGGTTACTATTAAGCTAGGAATAATTGCTTTATTTTAAGTTATTGATTTTATAGTTATTAAAAAATGATTTGGGTAATGTAACCTGCTAAGCTATTGTATCTCATTCTGTATTTTGCATTTCATTTTCAGGTTAGGGTAGGGGAAAAGGGCAGATTGTGTAGCTAAGATCGATTTTCTATGTTAACTGGGGTATAGATACCTTTTCTATTTTTGTTTTAGACTTTTTTTTTATAGTCCTGACACTTTTGTATGTCTTGCCTCGTGTATGTCCATTGCAAGGAACTGTTCTAGCAAGAATCTATACTGTATATTTTTGTAGATAAATAACAAGAGAAATTTTTGAAGATGAGTAAATTTCTGTATAGTAGAAAAAAATTTAGAAGTTCGGGTGTCTAATATCTAATATTTCTTCAAATCAAGATTTTGGTTTGTTCTATTCCGCCTCTGTTCTGTCACCATCCAAAACGTTGTGACCTGTATTTGTGCCCGCGTCATATGGGGTTGGATTGTGACACCACCATCGCCAGACTACATTCATTCAACCTTTGTCGCCCATCGACTATAGTCCTTCCAACTTCTGTCGCTCATCGACTATGGTCCCTCCGACCACCGTCACCCGACTATGGTCCTATCGACCAAATGAATATGCCAACATTCTATTTAGAATATCTCTCATGTCATTGGATTCTTATTAACTCCAACCATGTAATTTGCCTTATACGACGTACATTTGCTAGAGTAAGTCAACACCTTCCCCGAGGAAGAGCATCATTTGTAATCAACAACAACCACTAGTGGAATAATTTTAATTGGGCAAGAGCCTGCGGTTTTTACCTTTCCTGAGTTTTTCACGTAAAAATTCGATGTCTCTTATGATTATTGTACCTCTTTCTCTTATCTGTGTGTGCGTGAATCTTTGTACAAAGGAAGAATGATAAATACTCTCTACCGTCGTGAATGTTCCAGCACACAACAATTATAAAGATCATTCTGATCAAGTCAAGTTAACCTTACATAAAATTTTCCTTTATATGATGCTAATAATGTCATAACCAAAGGCATCTACCGCAACCTAGGTTCTATGCATAGAACATAAATTTCTTGAAGGCCAGAGAAAGTTTTAGCAACACGATGTCAAGCAGCTAAAAATTGCATAACTTTGGTGGAGAACTTGTTTCAAAGATTTTCAATCAGAATTCAGAAATATTATCTATGCTTAATAATACCGTCGTCGGTAAGAAAAGCTACCTCGGGGCTTATATACCACTTGCTGTCGGGGTCTCTATTAGGTTGATCATCGTTGTTGATCTTACCATATAACAGCCCGCGAGTGACATTCGTACTATTCAAAGAAGAAAGCACTTCATCGATGCGGACAAAAGCATCATCATCTGTCTTCATAACATACTTGGCTGATACAATATTTATCTACACTAAGAAACATGAAGGGTATTCAGGAAGATTGAATATTGGAAAACCAAACAAAATAATTTAATTCGGATGTAGGATAGAGAGATTTACCCCGTAAAGGCATATGGCTACAGTTTTTAATGTAATCAAGCTGTAATAATCAACAAAAGGCATCAACTGAATGTCTCCATAAGTGCGCGCTTCATTCCATAGTTGCTCATTCACCAGTTGGTTTTTATGCTGTAAGAAATCAGAAATTTATCTTTCGATCCGAGCTTTAAAGCTAGTTCTTCGACCACAAAACTTGAATTTGCGGAGATCTTTATTTAGTTTTCAAAGTTACAAGGCTAAAATAATTCTCATGTTGACAAAAAAGAACCATAAAAGATGTGCGGCTGTATTGTTAACAAAGTCGTTTCCTATAAGGCTGGCATGTTATTTTTGATGCAGAGTGTTTGCGTGAGTTAATACTACTCTTTGTAAATTATATTGAGCAACATCTATTACAAGTCGCAAAGAATGAGCTTGGAGAATAAAAAAGAAAGGTCCAAATAATAAAAAAAAAAATTGATGATGAAAAAAAAATATTAAATAAAAAATAAAAAAAGAAGTTTTGTCGGGCCACATCTTGTAAAATAGTAAAATCATACGGTAACAATGAATCAATAAAATGTATTTTAGTAGTCACACTAAACAAGTAAGATGTCTTAGTTTAAGCAGTGTTTTACCAATAAGCAATAATCTGTATCAATATCCCGTTGGCTTAATAAACAAAGTCGTCACTCTTTGCTCATTTGCACAGTAATTATCTCCTTATAACTCTAAATCACTATACATGAATCAATATAGAATACACCAAATTACAGTATTTAAAGGAAAGTCTGTCGGCCCGCATCTTATACAGGTCAATCAGTCTCCAACCAACATCAATGAAATCAGCTTTTATTTGTCCTCACGCGTGTCAAGGATAATCAATACAATAAAATACAAAAAAATGTGCGGTGAAGTTCAATAAATCCAAGGAAAAAGTAATAAAATTAGTTCTATGGGGAATCAAAGTTAAAATTAAAGTCTTTGAAGATAGAGACAGAATTAGAATCACCTACAGTGATCTGAGCATTTTCTACAAAAGAGATATTATAATAATAATAACAGTCGACTATTACTCAACTACATATCCACATTTATTTCTAATGTTTATATTAACAGTATGCTTATAGTAAAAATATTAGTTATTTAATCAATAAAAATAGTACAAACTATAGTAAATTTCATTTTACCATGTGAAATTCAATAAATGTTATAGTTAAAATGTCAAGGATAATCAATACAATAAAATAAAAAAATTGTGCGGTGAAGTTCAATAAATCCAAGGAAAAAGTAATAAAATTAGTTCTATGGGGAATCAAAGTTAAAATTAAAGTCTTTGAAGATAGAGACAAAATTAGAATCACCTACAGTGATCTGAGCATTTTCTACAAAAGAGGCAAAGCGACCCGACCGCTAAAAAACGGCTTTTTCTGTTTCTCTCCACTACGCTGCAATTCAAGCATGAATTCAGATTTTTTTTTTAATTCTAATTATTTTTAGAAATTCATATTGTTACAATCTAAAACGTGTACTCTCTTCAATGACTTGATCATCAAAAGTCAAAATCCCCCCACTAGATCTATTACTAATAAAATTATACTCCATGATTTTAAATTTACTCAAACAAAAACCTTTAAACTCTACGATTGACCACCATAATTCAAGTTTTTCTTCAACTCCCTCTCTAGTCTTATCAATAAGAACAACAAGAAGAATATCATAAGCAAAAAATAATTCATCAAGGTACATCCTCTTATAAATGTCTAGAAAGAATATCCATGATTAAAGCAAAAAGATATGGGCGTAAAGCTAATCCTTGACGTAATCCAACTAAAATAGGAAAATACTTGATCAAACCACCATGTGTTTCAATACAAGTAACAACTCTTGCATATATTTCCTTAATGACTTGAATATAAGTATTTTTAAACCTTTTTTTTCTAGAACTATCTAGAGAACTTATTTTGGGATTTTATCATATGTTTTCTCTAAATCAATAAATATCATATGTAGATCTTCCTTATACTATCTAAACTTCTCCATCAAATCTCCTAATAAATGTATAACTTCCATAGTAGATCTACCCGACATGAATCCAAATTAATTTTAAGAAATATTAACATCACGTCATAACATATGCTCAATTACTCTCTTCCATAATTTTAATGTATGACACATTAACTTAATTCCTTTATTGCATCATCTTTATTCTTAAAAATAAAAACTAACACACTCGTTCTCCAATTATCTGACATCTTTTTAGTCTTCAAAATAACATTAAAAAATTTTGTAAGTCAAGAAATTTCTTCAACTTCTAAATATTTTCAGACCTCTATTAGAATATCAATCGTTCCAATTTCTTTTCAACAATTATTTTTAAATATTTAATAGTTCGATGATAAAAACAAAAGTTTTTATTTTTATTTAGGATACTAAGGTCATTAAAGTCAGTTGTATTCTCACAATCTTTATTAAAAAATTTATTGAAATATCACATCCACCTATGTTGACTATCTATTCCTAATAAAAAGACTTTTTAATCTTCATCCTAATGCACTCCACTTAAACTAGATTTTTACTTCTCCTGTCTCTTTATTTGGCTATCTAATCTATTATATAAATCATTAAAAACTAAATTATTTGCATCACATATTGCTTTCTTAGACTCTTTTCGGGCCCCTCTAGATCTATTTGAATTTTTAAAATTTTTGCAACGAAACAAATTTTTATAATAAAGCTTTTTTTTCTCTTGTATGTTTTGATTCCACCAACTACTTGTACTATTAGAAGCCCTTCATTTTGATGCTACAAGCACATAGTTTGCAATACTCTTAATATCTTTTGCTAATTTTTCTCACATAATATTAGTCTCGTCATACACAATCAAAATCTTAAGACCTTGAACATTACTCTCAAAAACATTTTTATTGGCATTCTTTTAATGTCCACATCTAATCTTAAGATAGTCTTTTATTTTATTTTTTATATTCTGTCTCTTTATCTCAAAAGTCCAAAACTAATAAACAATGATGGTACATAAATTTTCACACATAATGACTTTACAATCTTTGCAATCTAAAAGATCTATTTTTTATAATGAAATAATCAATATGAGTTTTACTATATTCATTATTATAAGTGATGAGATGCTCCTCTCTTTTATTAAACTAAGTATTAGTAACTACATAATTATAAGCTAGAACAAAATCTAATAGAGTCCTTCATTAGTCGCTCCAAACTTATAGTCATCATAAATACTTTTAAAATCATCTACTACTCTACAACAATTTAAATCTCCTCCAAAAAAAGATGTATCATTTGTATTAATTCTTCTAAATCATTCTAAAATTTTAATTTTAAGCGCATATCCAAACATACTAGATAAGCATAAGCCTTTGTAATATAAATAATTTTAGCATCAACAACAATCTTTAAAATTATAATTCAATCTTCAATTCTATTAATTTTTATAATATTATCCTTCAAACTCTTATCATAATCACACCTATATTATTTATAGCACGACTCCTACCTAAAAATCATACTTTAAATCCTAACTTATCAATCTCCTTGGTCATCTCTTCGACCCATTAAATTTTCTGAATGCATAGAATATTTATTTTTCCATAAATCATTATATTTATTAATTTTATTAATTTACCTGTAAGAGAACTTATATTTTAAAATCGTATCTTAATTCTAATTTAAATGACTAGCTTATTTGCCCACATTCACTTATGATGTGAAATTTCTTGCTTATTTAATACTGCATTGGGCGTCGGTGCAATGACCCTTGCACAGTTCTTGTTGTATTCAGACCATAAAATGTGTTGTTTCCATGGGACTCCCTAGTTTAATACAAAGTATTAAATGATTTATGTCATGATTGTTTGACAAGTTTTATGCCGGTTGTCGGCTGCCTAAGCAATCCTTTATTTTTTCCATCCACGATTTGCTACCCAACAATGGCAGTGTTTTATTTAACCATAAAATATTTAAAAAAAAAAAATATTTAAGCTTGTTTGATTACTTAATCAAACTATCACAAATGAGCTATAATCAAGCCAAGCCACGAGTAGCTTATTGAACCTTAGTTTATTTATAGCCTTATCTAAATATTAGCCATTAGAAGATAAGCATAAAATTGAGTTAAGTGTTGCAGAGATGAGGATGGTCATGTGGATGAGTGGCTTTACACTTAGAGACAAAATGCGGAATGAGTATATACGTGAAAAAGTTGGAGTAGCTCCAGCAACAGATAAGATTAGAGAGAGTAGCCTTAGATGGTTTGGTCACACAAGACGTTGGCCTTTCAATGATCCTACTAGGAGAGTAGATATATCATATCTAAGAAAGTCAAGGTAGACCTAAAAAGACTTGGTTATGAAGTATTAAAAATATTTTTTTTATTAAATTTAAATGAGAATTTGAATGATTTACATAACCAACCTCACATTTGTTAACATCTATTCATGTATATTATGTCTTACGTCTATTATTTTCCTTCTTAATCCTTTGACACTAATTTTAACTACAAATCTAATGAGTGCATGTTCTATACTTAATTGTACTGGTCCAAACAATCTAAGTTTAAGTTTATTTATAAAACAAGCATAAATTAATGAAATGAATTCAATTTTAAAATGCGAGTCAAAATCTAAAATAATCCGCAACCAGCTAAATGAAGATGTTACATAAAATGAGAACTGGAATTTCATCAAGTAATGATAATAAAGTAGACACAAGAACATCACTAATTGCTTACCAGACCAACAAAAAAACGTACAGCAACAGCTCTAGATCGCACAGCATCATATTGCATCCAAGTTCTCCTAACAGCCATTCTCCGCATGAAATTATTTGCAGTGGAAAATACACCAATGAAGAGATCTATGCCTTTATGAATCGGCAAAATAACAGACTTGAGAGACTCCAAGTCAGCAACATGCTCAAAATCCTCAGAAGTTGGCAAACCACTTGCAAGGATAGAGAGCAGTTTAATGTCACCTGAAATCCTTGCTTCATTAACAAGCCATGGCTCCAATGTCTACTTTCACAGAAGGAAACAGAAAAAAGAACCAATTCACCAAGGGCAGAGTTAGAAAGAGCTCTCAGATTTTGAAGCTTTGAAAAAGAGCATTGTGGCGCTGAAAATACCTCACGAAAAGCAAAAGAAGTTATATGCTTCCCATTAACACTCATCTGGATCCCTTCAGCCCCTATTCTCAGGGTAGAGACAGCAAGATACCCTTGCTTAAAGGGAAAATATCTTCTAGGTTTAACAACTTTCTTTTTAGAAGGGTTCACTGCTGAAGAATTAGAAGATATTTTTGATGCAAAGATGTGCTCATCATCTTCACCCACAGCTTTACTGCATTGATGTAAATCATCCACTGTCATAAAGAACTGATTCATGAGTGAAGACGTACTTTACAAATATAAAATGTAACAAGAATCTAGAACTAATATATCTTACAGGAATAGAGTACTTTAGATGTTTGAAGAAATAAGCTCTGTCCAATCATTTTAAACAAACCAAACGTGCAGATCATACTTATAGATAGTACCTTTTTGGTTATTTTCAGTATCTGGAAAAGGGCAACGCTCCTCCAGACCCCAATCATGAGCTGAAGTCCAAGTATTTTGAACAATTACTGGATCCTCTGTGATTTTATCACCATGAAGCCGGACATTGTAATGCAGGATTATGGGAGGATCTTGTTCACCTGGTATAGCCGTTCCCAACAGATCAATCTTGAAATTTCCTAGAATTCCATCAGGCGTGCCAATGATAGTCAGGGAAGACCCCTGAACCAGTCCGCAAGGAATCCTTAGCCTGAAATCACTATTTGAAATTTCTGAAACATTCATCCTTATAATAAAATAGGGACACTGCTGCTCTTTCCGCCCTTTGCTTTTACTTCTATTACCTGACCTTTCTAATTTTTCATCTTCAATTGATCCCCTGAGATCTTCCCATGCAGTAACAGCTTCCTTGACAGCCTCAACTGCCTGAGGTAAGCCTTTAGACTGATTGACCAAGTGTGCCATATGTTTCCATGTCTGCAGAGAAACCTCTTCTTCATTTGAAAGATTATGTGGTATGGAAAGTTGTGACATTAAGGAACCAGTTGAGACTACTTCGGATTCATTCTTTGGATTCTGAGAAACCAGCACATTTCCTCCACCAGTCATCCAATAAAGATGTTCAGAGTTATTTCGATGGTAAGGGCTCGGAAACGAAATTTCTACTAATGGGTTTTTCACAATGACATATCTCAACAGCAGGAATGTAAAGATGGCAAAGAAGGATGTTAGAATAATGAGACCTCTGAAACATTTCTTCATGTTTCATGAACTCTCTTTTACCAGTACTTTGAGGTTGAAACTGAGCTTCAAGCACTCAGGTTTAATGACTGATCAATAGCCATCAGCAAGGCAGTTGGAATTGGAAAATATGCAATAAGGTATGCCAAAAAACTCATCGTTGAATGTCACACTGCAAATTCAGCAAGAAAACAATAATATCAGTATGATAGATCACTCTAATTCAAGCAAAAGAAATTTCAAAAATGATTTACTTTGTGAGAAGACAAATGCATCATTCAGACTGTACAAAGATTCAAGGATTAAGAATAGAAAAACAAACACACACACACACATTTTATATATATGATGTAAAATGCCTATTTTGAATCCAAAATTTGCAACTCTTTTCATCGTGTGCTTGTTAGGCCGGCACTTGAACCGGCTGGACCGGTCCAAACCGGACCGGTCCACACCTACTCGAGGCGGAAACCAACAGGGCGGGCGGAACCGAGCGGAGCGAGCTCATTCGACGGGGGCCAAGGAGGAGTTTTGGGAGGGAAATTTTGGATATATTGATGTCATTTCCAGCCTAAATAAGATAAAACTTAATCAGCTCTAACTGATTGTTTTATTTAATTGCATGTCATCCCATTCAACTAAAGGATGTCGACTCATGGAGCCTAATTTTTTACTAGAAATACACCTTGTGCAATCTTAACATTAGATAGACTTTCACAGTAAGGTTGTTGTGGGTTTGGGAACCACCCTCTTTGGGTTTCGGGGCTTGAGTCCATCAAAGATTTTCAATATTCTAAAGTACTTTATTAATGGTATTTTGGATATTTTACTATTTCCTAAACATTTTTTTTATAAAAGGGGTCTTCAATCTTCATCTTTAGTTGTTATTGGTGTGATTAGGCCGTAAATGCAACAACCAAGAGCACTACATCACTAGAAGGAATGCCAAAATAAGGGGAAAAAATCTACAAATCATCTTTTCAAGGCATTAGAATTTTTTAAATCCAGATTTTAAAAAATTTTGAAGCTTAGTTTGCCTCCCTCTCTTTATAAGCATCGCTGAAAAAAAAAAAGGTCCACACGGAGTGGTTCTAGAAGTCATGCATGTGGCTGACCAACTACTTAATTATCATTTCTAGTACTTAGTTTGGCCACTTAAAGCATCATATATGAGAATATAAATATAAGGCCATCTGTATGAGCAAGTAAAAACAAGGATAGGCCAATTTTTTAGATATTTTAAAGGGTCATTTTACATCATTTTGAAAAATCAAAGCAGCTTCTGACTTGTCCAGGGCCTCGTAGACTTCCAATAAATCTTAGTACTGTTGAGGGGCCCCTTTTTAGACCATAATCAAGGTGATTAGTCAAGTTCCCAACACACTCAAGCACTGCAAGATGAAGATGGTACGAAGGTCAACAAAGAAAAAAAAGAAGAGAAGAAAGAAAAAAAAAAATAGTTGATAAGCAATTTTCATACTCGAACAAAGACATTATTTCTTGTGCAATACTCCAAGCAACACGTGATTAAGGATTATAATCTCAAAAAATGAAAAATTATTTACGCATTCAAAGAAAGATTTTACCAAGCACTCATTGTTCTTTTACATTTTAAAAATTATTTACGCATTCAAAGAAAGATTTTCTTTCATTAATTGATATTTCACAATAAAATGGGCTGTTTTTCTTTGATTTTTCCTCTACTTGTTGAGTATTCTAGCTAATTTCGTCAAGATCGTTATGTTTCACTTGAGATCTTCAAGTGTTTCCTATCAGATAATTAACTATAGGAGTTTGCGCATATGAAAAACCAAACCTCATATCATAGGTATTGGTTTGAATTATAATCATAGTGATAACATCAACAAATAACCCCTTACAGAGTAACTGTGTCATGTTGTTCAATTAATTTAAATTAATATGCATGAACTATTCTGTTTCAAAATCACAGAAATTTAGATTCTAACACAAATTTGGTTCATATATGAGCTCATATTAAATTCAACTTCAAATTCAAAATATTAATACTTGTTTAATCATATATGTAAGTACACAATAAGTTTTGGTGTTGACTCTAGTGAATATTTAGAATTATAATTTAAAAACTTTGGTTTACAAAATACCATACAAAAGCATGAATCTTGAGGACAACCAACACAAATCTTAATATGAACACTACAATAATCTAAAGAATTTGTTGAATGACAATCATTCCCTGTTAAACCCTGCAAATATGACTCTTGGCCGAGCTCAGACATCATCTTTTTCAAGAACTTCAGCTAGTGTTTTCCAACAGTATCATAACCAACAATCATGGGGCTACACTAAGGCTATAAATGGCACGATCAACAACGAAAGGCGCAGGCCACGTTTATTGTTGGTGTGCCTTCAATTACTTGCAAGCAATAAAAAAGACTTCTCGAAACTATAACAAAACCTTCAAATTGCTTTTGTAAAACTAGGCAAAATCTAATATCTTTTAGGGAGCAAGAGAGTCTGTATTTACAAGATTTGAATAAGTTAATGACACTCATTTTAAAAAATTATCTGTTGATCCAATGCATGAAATTTCGAACTATCACTATGAGGATATAACGATGCGCCTAATTTCCAGCATTCTCTTTTATGTGTTAGAAGCTACTGTGGTACCAAGGGAAGCTAATCACCATTGGCCTCTTCACAATTCCCAAATGAGAATTGAGCACCTTTAACAAGTAGCACCTTTTTGAATAAAATGGACGAAGGGTCCTGAGGCATTCCATAATTACTCTACTAATTATTTTAACAAATTTGTTAGGTGTGATCACAATCAACTGTTTTAGATAAGTATCATTCAACTTTTTTCCATATTAAAAAAGAGCGACTAATCAAATCTTGAATTAAGCCTTAAAGTCGATTATTTTGGTTTTTTAGTCTTTCTTGTTCATGAAGAGAGCTTTGGAAATTTGAGGAGAGCCACCAATTGCCAAAGACTTCCCCTTTGAATCATTGAAATTTGTCTCCAACCTTCAAGACCCCCCTTAGTTATCAGTATTATTAATCAAAGACCTATTCTCGAACCGAACAGCATTACCAAGCCCAAGCTACTGAATTGAGTTTCGAAGGGTTTGCTCGAGTTGAAAATCTTTGGGATGGCCATTGAGCCCTAGATTTTGGTCGCTGGTGTGCAGAACTTGGCTTCAAGCAAAGAAACTTTCACCATTAGAACCTTGCTGTCAACTACATTCCCTCCAAGCACGCAACAGAAACTAAGAGAAATTGAACACAGAAAGGAATACATGCAAAAACTAATAAATGTTTCTAATTATAGCAAGTTAGCAACTGCAGTATTTTAACCATGAAACCCCTCCTTCCAGCCTTCGTCTTTCTCCACAGAATTTTCAGACCTAAAAAAATTAAAAACACCAAAACTAACCCAGAAAACAAAAATCCAAGAAAAAGACTACGCCCAAACACCAGATTTACTGCCATTTCAAACTTAAAACCTTATTACTTCATCCCTACACAATCCAACTTGGACTGTAAACCACAGATTCAACCAGAAGACCCAGTTCCCAGATCTTTCTATGTAAAACCCTAATTTGACCTAAATAAAAAAAAGAAATTTTGACTAAGCACTTACTAATTCCAAAAAGAACCAACAGTTCCAAAGTTTCCAGAATAATAATCTTCAAGCATTCCAAGATTAGAGTAAACAAAATAAACATGGACAAAACATAAATTAGAACTATATTTCCAATTTCAAAAATACAATAACATCATTTATTTCTCGGACAGAAGACGTAAACATGGAGATATATAAGATGAGCAAAACGCTACAAGCCCACGAAGTTAATTAAGAATACCCCCTCATGTGTGCCGAGAGAAGGCAAAACAGAAACAGAACAAAATAGCCGAAATGCCGAACGAAATCTACCTCAAAATGCCGCCTTTGTTTAGAAAAACCAAAGCATAAGAAACAAAGCCAATGCCGCTTCAGATCCACACCGCATTTCTGTACGAATTCCTGTGTCTTGTGTTTGTCCGTCTCTGTGAGAGAGAGAGAGAGTGAGGAAAAGGAGTAAGCTTTGATCCACTTCAATCAAGAGAGAGATGGACGAAGAATAACTTGAACTCTACGCCATAGCAGGGAGAGTGAAAAAGTTAGCGCAATAAATTTGTCTCATTGAAGATCAAGCTTTTGAGCTTTTCCTTTCAAAGTTTAACCGAGCGGTTGCAATCTAATCTCCCCGGCAGTTGACTGGCAATAAACTTACCCGGTTATTTTTCCTCTATTAAGCGCTTCCCATTATTTTCAAAATTTTCTGCTATTTTTTTTCATTTTTTGCCGGCTAATCCCAGTCAAGATGAGCCTCGTTGAATAATTATAATTAATACTTATTGTAGGCGCCTAAGCTGCTATAGTATTAGACTCTTAGGTAAGGAACTTTTATTTCGTTCGGTTGACCGGATGCAAGAAATATCCGATCGTAGGTAAAAAAAGCGCGGTACCGAGGTATACCGAGTTTTTCAAAAAACTCGGTACACCTCGGTACCGAGTTTTGTTTGCCTACGAATAACGGCTCCTTAGGTAAGAGGGTAAAACACTGTTAATTTTTTGGTTGAGAAAATAAGAAGTAAAAATCTTTCAAAAGCAAATTTTAGAAAAAAAAAATACTAATATTTTTTTAATAGAGTACTACTACACAGATGCATATAATTTCATATTTTTTATAAATAAATTTTCAACAAAAAGCGCCTAAGCTGCTATAGTATTAGACTCTTAGGTAAGAGGGTAAAAAACTGTAATTTTTTTGGTTGAGGAAATAAGAAGTAAAAATCTTTCAAAAGCAAATTTTAGAAAAAAAAAATACTAATATTTTTTTAATAGAGTACTACTACACACATGCATATAATTTCATATTTTTTATAAATAAATTTTAAACAAAAATTATTGTTGCGTCCTAGAATATTCGTAGAGGTAGAGAAATATGTAGTTTAACGTCTTAATGTTATACGAAGATCCAGCACACAATCAGATAATAGAGAGGGTGTAGCGTTCATAAGAGACACCAGAATTTTTACGTTAAAACCCCTGAAAAAGGGGAAAATCATGAGGTCTAACCCAGTTTGAATGAATCCACTAGTATTTGTTGTCGATTACAAATGAGACTCCTCTTAGGGAGAAGGCCTTGGTTTGATGTCACAAATGTACATTATATAGAGCGCATTACATGATGGGAGTTACAATAATCAACATAAGCATGTTTGTTTGGTCGGCAGGACCATAGTTGATAGGATAAAGGTCGGAAAGACCGTAGTAGGCAGGAGATCGGGGTCAGAAAGATGATTGTCCGACGATGTAGGCCGGAAGGACCGTAGTATGCAGGAGAACGAGGTCAGAGAGATCATTGTCTGGCAATATCGGTCGGAAGGACCGTAGTAGGTGACAGAGGCCGGAAAGACCATAATCGGTAAGAAACAGGGGTCCAAAAGACCATAGTTGGCCAGAGATTGGGGTCAAAAAGACTATTGTAGTAGGTCAGCACTCTGGTAAAACTCTAGGCATCAGGTGGTGGCCTGACAAAATTCTAAGCCTCAGGTGGTGGTCCGGCAGAAGTCCAGGCCTCACAAGGTGGCCCGGCAGAATTCTGGGCTTCACGTGGTGGTCTGGGGGAGAAGTTTGGGCATCAGGTGGTGGTCTGGCAAAAGTTTGGAGCTCAGGTGGTGGTCCGATAGAAGTCCGGGTGTCAGGTGGTGGTCTGGTAGAAGTCCAGGCCTCAAGTAGTGGTCCGGCAGAAGTTCGAGTGTCAGGTGGTGGTCTGAGAGAAGTTCCGGCCTTAGGTGGTGGTCCGGTAGAAGTCCGGGTGTCACGTGGTGGTCCGGGAGAAGTCTGGGCATCAGGTGGTGGTCTACTAGAAGTCCGGGCCTCAGGTAGTGGTTCGGCAAGAGTTCGGGTGTTAGGTGGTGGTCCGGGAAAAGTTCGGGGCTTAGATCGTGATACGGCAGAAGTTCAGGCATCAGGTGGTGGTCCGGCAGAAGTCAGGGCCTCAGGACGTGGTCCAGCAGAAGTCTGACGGTGGTCGAGGAGGAGCGAGGAGGCAAGAGCGATCTTCAATCTTTCTCTTGCTCTCTTGCTTGGAGCCCCCTATTTTCAAGAGGAATGAGAGGTCTATTTATATATTTTTAAAGTGGCATGGCTCGTAAATAGGTGGGAGATCAAGGGCAAATGGGGAGTGGTTGGATGGACGGGTGATGTTGAACCATTTGATCGTAGAACATTTGATGGACATTTGAATATCTTAGTGATGTCGGAATTCAGTGATTTTAGGCTCGTTGGATTCCTCTCGTCGAGCCGCTCAATTCGACTATAATCACTTTATGTTTGGAAACCGTTTTGTAATCCAAATTGTGGTTCGAACCCTCCAACAACGCTTCAGACCCTTGATTTGGACCCATTTGGGCCCGAATTGGGTTGAATTTGGTGTCGTTGGGTTCATATTCTTGAGACATTTAGTTGGAGTATAAGTTAGTTGAAATCGGAGTTCAATGATCCCAATTTTAATTTCGGAAGTTTCCAACTTCATTTTGCCTCGAGATTCGTGCCCAATCAAGATAATTTTTCGAGGAAGTATCAATTATAATTAATTAAGGATCTTTGATCGATATAATTTGCTTCCATTGATATTGTAATTCAAATATTACGGATTGAACTTTCTTCTTCTACGTATAATTAGGTTGGATGGAGGAGTCTTTTTCTGATTAATAGCTCAGTTCATTTTATAGATGTTCAGTTTGGTCTGACCATATTATCTTCTTTGGTTCTTATTTTGTACAAAAATGATGAATTTAAAAATAATCGTATCAATAAAAAAAATTAGAGCGACTTCTGCTAAATTTAAGATTTTAATTTTATTTAGGATGATTTTTTTATTCCTTCTTAAAGTAGATTTCAATATTTAAAAAAGTTGTTTTAAGAAGTAGTATGAGATGGCTTTTTTAGTGCTTCTTACAGCAGCTTTTTAATACAAAAATTAAAATTTTTGTACCAAAAAGTATTTTAAGAAACATTAAAAAAGTTATCCCAAAAGAAACCTTCTTAAAATAGCTTTTTTAGTACAAAGATTTTAATTTTTGTACTAAAAAGCTGATTTAAAAAACAACAAAAAAATCATCCCAAACAAAGACTTATCTTAGGTTTCATTTGGAATAACTTTCTTATTATTTTTTAAAATCAGCTTTTTAGTATAATTTTTTTAAAATTAGTATAAACTTTTTTTTAACTAATAATTTTTGTAAAAAAAAATTACTTTAAAAAAATACTAAGAAAGCACTTCGTTTGAGACCGAATTTTTATTTTTTAAAGTACTTTTTTTATAAAAATTTTTAATTTAACAAATTTTATACTAAAAATTTATTTTAAAAAATAATAAGAAACTTATCCCAAATCAAAACCTCAACACAAGAGTAAAAAATATATTTGTTATACAAATTGATAAAATTAATATTAGAGAATCAGAAATATAAAGTGACTATGCTTTATCTGAACTTGGTGTTAAGATGACCTCAATTAATTCTCATGCGACATGCTTCACCAACGTCAATTTA